GGGGGCGGTTCTGCTCTGAGAGGGCCAGGAGGACCAAGGGAAGGGTGGGAGGCAGCCAGCCTCCTCCTGTCTACATTCCCCGGGGCCTCCCACTAGACTGAGCTCCATCCAGCCCCTGTCTGCACCCACCACATTTCTCTGGGCTTCTTTTTATCAGTGACTCTTGTTCAGTGGAGTCTCAGCCCTATCTCTGGACCACAGACAGGCCCAGCCTCCTTACTGTTACAACCCCCCACCTACCCCATACCCCCGCCCCCCCTCCACACATGCACACACATCCCGGGGAATGTCCAATATGGAGCTCAAGGATTCCTAACTGTCAGGAAGTGGTAGCTGCCAACAGGCAGTTAGTTCTTTGACACCATTTGTATACTTCTAGAGGTAAGTTTTCTATATCTTCCATATCTTGACGTTTTCTGTAGGAGACTAGAAAATGTAGCCAAAACTGTTTGATTTATTGGTGGGTTGGTAAATGTGTGTGCTAAAAAATGGTCATAAAACCGAAGAAGGTTCATTTAAACTTTTGCAAGTGATCTGAGTAGATAGTTCAACAAAGAACACATACAAATGACCAATAAACTCATGAAAAGATGCTAAAGGACATGCTCTGTCCCCATCTATTCTTTCTTGGTGGTATGGGGTCCTTGCTCCGCTCACTGCTCTCTATTTTATCTCTTTCAGGATGAAAGGTGATGCAGGCTACACCCCAGGGAAACTACCCTTACATCGTGCAGGGTTTATCAGGGTTAAGGGTGGTGATTTAAACAAGGGTGATGCATCTCATCCTAATCTTGCCTCATTAACGTAACTAATACAACCTATTCATAAGATTTTCAGTGGTGAATTCCTCAGACAGACAGCTTATTCCTTCTTCGTAGCCTATTCTTAATCTGGAAGTTCTGTTGAAACCATCAGTGACATAGCTTCCAGAATTAAAGCAATACATGCTATTACAATACGATAAACAGGTGATGACATGTGATCCAGAACAAATAGTACTGAAGGAAGAAGTCCAAGCTCTACTGAAAGCAATGAAAAATACCAACTGAAAAGTTTCAACAAGCTGATGAAGCATTGGAAGCACTCATCTATGACAAGAAGTTTGGAAGACAGCTACCTGCCCAATCGACTGGAAGGGATATCTTTTTGTACCCATTACAATGAAAGGCAACTCAACAATGCTCTAATTATAGAATAATATGATTGATATTACATGCAAGTAAAATATTACTGAAGGTTATTCAACAACGGTTGAAGCAATAAAATTCAAGCCAGATAGAGAAGAGGATGTGGAACAAGGAATATCATTGGGAGTGTCAGATGAATCTTGTCTGAAAACAGAGAATACCAGAAAGATATTTACTTGTGTTTTATTGACTATGCCAAGGCATGTCACTGTGTGGATCATAACAGCTAAGTCTTGAAAAGAATGAGAATTCCAGAACACTTCATTGTGCTCATGTGGAACCTGTACATGGATCAAGGAGTCATGTGAACAGAACAGGGGCGGGGGACGGGATACAGTGTGGTTTAAAATCAGGAAAAGTGTCTGTCCAAGTTGTAGCCTTACACCATACTTTTCAATATGTATGCTAAGCAAATCATCAGAAAAGCTGGTTTTTATAAAGAAAAATGTGGCATCAGGATTGGAGGAAGACTTA